GGGAGGGCGCGCGAGGCGAGGGCCCAATACACACAAATAAAAGGATCCCCTATATTTTCCCATATTTTCTGGGTTTTTGTCTTCCCCCCACTTCCCATATTTTCCCATATTTTCTGGGGGATCGACGATTGATTGTGTCTGTGTGTCTTTTTCCCTCCTGAGTCAGGAGAACGGCAGGAGGGGGGAAGGGGGGGGCCGGAAAGCCGACGGGCGAGAGGAGGCGGAGGCCACGAGCAAACGCTCGCCCCGCGCCGCCTCGGAGCCCATCCGCGGGATCTCGGCGGGGGAGGTGGAGAAGGATGAGGTGGGGGAGGAGACCGATGAGGAGGGGGAGGAGGAGGAGGAGGGAGAGGAGGAGGAGGAGGAGGAGGAGGAGGAGGAGGAGGAGGAGGAGGAGGAGAGGAGGAGGAGGAGGAGGAGGGGGAAGAGGGGGAAGGGAAGGACGGACGGACGGACGGACGCTCGCGTGCGCGCCGGGGCGCGGTCCCTCTCGGAACGGAGCGGTGGCGCCGTGGCGCCAAGATACTGTGGTGTATGGTAAAGAATGCGATCGAGACGCATAAAGAATTAGGTGCGTCAGAGGGGAGGGAGGGAGGAGGGAGAGGCATCCTTGTTGTCAGAGTCGTTGTGTGTGCGTGTCGTGGATAGTGATGCCGTCGTTGATGCTTCACACTCGTATGGTCACATGGCAACCTCAAATTTGGGAGCTGGAGTCGGTGAGATGGGATCCAGAAATGGAGCCGGAGTCGGAGAAATGAGATAGGCTGGGAGCCGGAGTCCGAAAAATGCAATGGGAGCTGGAATTGGAGCCGGGGTCGGAAGGATGTGAGCCGGGGTCGGAACGGAGGTCGGAAAGATGGGATCCGGCGTCGGAGCCGGAGTCGGAAAGATGGGATGGGATAGTCGGAAATTTGAGAGCTGGAATCGGAGCCGGACTCGGGGAAATGGGATCCAAAGTTGGAGCCAGAGTCGGAAAGATAGGATGGGTCGGAAATCTTATACAGCGCACAGCCCAGCATGAAGGCCACATCCGCACATCTCTGCTGAGCCTTCTTCTTCTTCTGCAGCCCATCATACCGCTCCTTGGTACTCGATGTCGTGGTGTGTTGGTGCCACGTCGCTGGGTAGGAGTCTGTGTTGGTCGCCTGTGCTGCATTTGGTGTTGGTGTTGGCGCAAGGCGCCGGCAGTCGGTGTTGTAGTGCTTGGTTGTTGGTGGTCGGTGCTTGTGGTCGCGTGGTCGGCCGTCAGTGCTGCATGGCTAGAATCATGCAACGACGAAGTCTCTCTCGAGTGAGTTCCACCATGCCGTCCGTGTCGCAACTGTGAGCCTTACATCGTTGGCGTCGCGTTGTGTGTCATCGTCGCTTATCTGTAGATGCACATGGTGTAGGAACTTCCGCAAATCGTCGTCCCATCGCTTGTGCTGGCCACCGTGCTGTCGATAACCCTGTTGTTTTGTGTCCCTATTGGGATTCCATTTCAGAGCTCGCTGTGTCCACCTGTTTGGTGGGTGGGTCGCTACGCGTGCTGCCCACTGCCAAACCATTTTGCGATGCATTTGGGTGACGTCTGGGATGTCGTGCATGCTCATGAGTTCCTCCGCTTTGCGGGTGCACCGGCGGATGTAGTCAGACCAGAGCTCGGCATCGTCTGCCGCCTGCTGGCGTGTCTGGGTCGTGTGGGGTGGGCCGATGCTGTCGTCACTTGTTTGGGATGGGTCTGATGGAGTCGGAGGGTCGCTGGAAGCATCGTGGTCGCTGGAGTCGTCAGAAGCGTTACCGTCGAGATCATCGTTGTCAGCGTTACCCGTCGCTGGGGTAGCATGCGTTGACGAAGCTGCTGACGTGTGTCGCCGCGGTGTCCCGATAATCGCTCTGACCATCCGTCGTTGCGTGCGGCCTAACTGCTGTTTGAGGAATTCTGTTATTGTCAATGACTATGCGCCGTACATCATTGTGGGTATGACGGTGCCACGGTACAGTCGTAGTCTGTGTTTGAGTGGGTGGTGCTTGCTCGTTAGTTCCTGTCTGTGCCTTGTGCAGCACGCCCATGCCGCTTGGATGCGATGCTGGATGTCGGTCGCCGGTGCGTCTTGAAAAGATATGGTCTGGCCGAGATGTTTCAGCATTCCTGAAGGTGGTCATACTTCGATGTCCATGGTTGCAACTCTCGCCGAACGCGTCCGGGTCCTGGTCCGATTTGTCATGATCTTTGTTAAGGTCGGGTGTATTTTAAGGCCGTGAGGAGCTGCTGCCTTGATTAAGTCCCCAAACAGTGCCTTCAAATTGGGTAGTGTCTGACTGACCAGGAGGATGTCGTCGGCGAAGCGGATGTTGGTAAGAACAGATTCGTCGGTGTGCACTAATTGTATTCCTCGTCGTCGTCGCTGCCAATCCGGAATGAGAGGTTCCAGGGCGTGCTGCAGTAGAGAGTAAAAGAGCAGTGAGCTCAAAGGGTCTCCATGTTTTGTGCCTCGTCTCAGCTTGAAAAGGTTTGCTTGTGGAGTCGGTGCGGACAAAGGCCTTCTGGTCGCGGTAGAGACGCCGGAGCAGGTGGACGCACTCGGGTTGCACGCCTTGTTGTCGTAGTGCTGCCCATAGGCTGCTGTGCTCTACTGTGCCGAACGCTTTCTTAAAGTCTGCGGCAGCAATCCAGAGGGTCTGGTTCCATTCGGAAGCTCGCTCTCGCAGGATGTTGAAAGTGAAGAGGTGGTCACGCGTGCCGCGTCCAGGTCTGAATCCCGCTCGGTCGTCGGGCTGGCGTTGTTCAAGGACTGGCTGTAATCTGTTGTTGAACAGACGACTGAATAGTTTGTATAGCATGGGTATCGTACAGCTCGGGCGGTAATTCTGTGGAAGAGATAAGTCACCCGATTTGGGGATGATTGTGATCACTGTTTTCCTCCAGCTTGATGGTGTAGGGGCGTTCGGTTTGAGGACGGTGTTGTATAGCTGCAACAAGGCATTTTGAAGTTCCGGGCATGGTTTCTTGAACATTTCTGCTGTGATCCCTTTGGTGTCCAGTGACTTTCCCAACTTGAGATGCGAGATTGCTGCGTCGAGCTCTTGCGCCGTAAAGGGTGTGATGTGCTGATGGGCGTCGGTCGTGCTTGGTGCTGCGTCGACGGTGTCGGTGGACTTGTACAGCTCCTCGTAGAACGTCACGAATACATCAGCACTGCCATGACGAGTCGTGCGCTTGGCGCCGTCGTTACCAACCATTTTCATGATGAGCGTTCGTCTTCTTCTCGTCTTGATGGAACTGACGCGCTTGAGGTCCCTGTATTGTTCGAGGATGGTGCTGATCTGCTGTCATCGTTTGGTGCGTTTCTGTTGTAGAATGTGTTTCTGTTTTGCTTTGCTGATCGTCCGCCGGCCGTTTGTGTCTGCGTTTGGGATACGTCTGCGCTGCTCCACAAGGTTGGTGATGATGTCGTCGCGGTTGGTTGGGTCGTCATAGTTTATTGTATTGTTGTACTGGTTTGTGCTTTCCTGGGGGATGTGCTGTGCAGCGTGGCGTCGTTCAAGCTCTTCTCGATTGTTTTGTTGAGATCGTCGGGGTGAGCTGGTAGTACTTCGGGTTGCAATTTGGAGCCCAGATGACGTCGATACTCGTTGGGGTCGGTCAATCATTGTCCTTGCTTGGTGGCATGTCTGGCCTGTCAATGTTGTCTGTCTGTGCCGGAGCCCAACAATTTGAGGCGCATGTGCAGAGGTACCGCCTTGTGGTCGGAATTTTGGTCAATTGCGTTGCTGGCTTCGGCGTTCCGGCATGAAGGTAGCAAGCACCTGTCCACTAGTATGTAGTCGTACTGCCGAGGTTTGCCGCCTGTCGTTGTGTAGGTGATCAATTTGTCTGGGCGTTTGCGGAAAAATGTGTTCCCGATTGCAAGCCTCTCGTTCGTAGCCCAATGTCGTAACCATTGGCCTCGGGAGTTTTCGTCGCCGAACCCGTGGGGCCCCACGTAGTGAGAACAGATGTCGGATCGGGGTTGCGCAAAGTCAGCGTCGTCATTCGGACGTCCATTCGGGGAGCGCGGTTGGGAACCAACTTGGGCGTTGAAGTCGGCACCCATGTGTGCGCATGCGTCGGGAACGTGCTTCACTGAGTAGAGCGCTGGCGGTGTCGTACAACTGCTGGATGTGGTGGTCCGTATACCCAGTGTGCGGAAAGGATGCCGATACCAATTGTAGTCGAAGCTTCCTCTTCCTGATGTTGAGCGCCGCGATTCTCGCATTGATGGCCTGGAACTCTGACACGTGTTTGGTCCAACGCTTGTGCCAAAGGATTGCGACTACGTGGGAACGACTCTCGTTGCTAGAAACCGCAAAAGTGTGTCCATATGTAGTGATCCATCACTCACGTTCTATCGTCCGCCACGTTTCGCTGATCAGAACTGCGTTCCAATGCAAACCACGTAAATCATGCAACAGTTCATCGATCCGGTCGTTCGTCTCCAGGGATCTCGCATTTTTGTGGATGACTGTGACATCGATGATGCCAGACTCGTCGCAATTTGCCTCTTGATGCGTCGGATCGGGTAGGATCGAGGGGGAAGGAGAGGGGACGGGGGAGGGGAGGGGGGGAAGAGGGTTGGTCGACGCTGTTGGTCTGTGGTCGGTGGTGAATGGTGATGGGCGCTGTGAGTCTGTTGGGGTCGGCGCTGCTTGTGGTGGTTCTGGTCGGTGGTGGTCAACAGTGGGTGGTGGTGGGTGCTGCTGGTCGGTCGGGGTCGGTGCTGCTTGTGCTGTCGCTGTCCCGTGGTGGTCGGTGGCGGAGCTTGGCGCCTGTTTGTCTGTCGGTCGAGGTCAGTGCTGCTTGCCGTGATGCTGGCGGTGGTGGTCGGTACTGGGTGTTGGTGGGAGGACAGAGAAGGACAGAGAGGGACAGAGGGGCGAGGGCGCGACCAGGTGTGTGTGTATGTGTGTGTGTGTGTGTTAGCCCCCCGCCCGCAAGGCGTCAGACGCCCGGGCTCCTCCCGCTCCCGCGTCCCCCTGGCCTCGGTGCCGTTGCCGTGGTGCACGTCGATGTCGACGATGGCCACCCGGGGGGCCATGTGGCGGTAGACGCACCTGGCGGCGCGGCGGCGGCGTGGGAGCGGGCGGGCAGGGAGCGGGGAGAGAGGGGAGAGGGACGAGGAGGAGGGGCGAGCGACGATGCAGGAGGAGGCGTTTCAGGGAGAGGAGGGGGAGGCGATGCGGAGGCGAGGGGGGAGCGATGGGGCGGGGAGGAGGACGAGGGGAGTGTCGGCGTGAATGAACAGGAGAATAGAGAGCAGGCGGCGATCAGGAGGAGGCGAGGATGTAGTGGAGGCGGGGGGGGGGGGGAAACGCCAACTGCCTTCTTACGTCGCGCACCTTCTTTTTTTCTTGGGCACTTTCTTGCCGGCGCTCATCCCGAATTCAAAAACAACGGCACAGGAAATCCCCAAAGAGCGCCGATCAGGAACTGTTGCTTCATTGGCATCTTGACGCGGCACCTTCGCCATAATGACAATATGCGACAAGCCCTCTCGTCTGACGTAGCAATGTGTTCGTGACGCGGTCCCAAGGACTTCTCGACTTCCCAATAGTCCCAAAGCCCCAGGCGGACTGGCGAGGGGCCACGACAACGCCAAGGTCCGATGGGCTACAGGTAATAGCTGTGAACGAGTGGAGCCCAACCCGCTGTGCAACAACACAATGTGCACTCGGCGCGTAACGTGCTGGGCTATGCTTGACGATAGGACGTGTTCGGCCGCACAGCACGGCTACACTTTCCCACTTTCCTCCTGCTCATCTTCCCCTCTCCTTTCCCTCCCTCCCTCCTCGTTCCTGCTTTCCTTCCTCCTCCGTCTTGCCTCATTCCTTGCCCTCCCCTCCCTCCTCTTCCCTCCGTCCTCCCCCATTTCTCCTTCCCCCTTTCTTCGTCTTCTCCTCCTCCTCCCTCGCCCGATGCCCGAGCATCACCCCGCCCAGCGAGAGGATAGAGGGCCGAGGGAGGCAGAGCTTGACTCCTCCTGCTGGTCGTCAGCCTCCACCTCCTCCTTCCCCCTCCTCCCTCCCTCCCCGCTTCCCCGCTCCCTCCTCCTCTCCTCTGCTCATCCACTGCCTCCCCCCCTCCCCGTCCTCCTCCTCCTCCTCCTCCTCCTCCTCCTCCTCCTCCTCCTCCTCCTCCTCCCCGTCCTCCTCGTCCTCGCCCTCGTCCTCCTCCTCCTCCTGGGCGGACTGCCTGGCGTAGGCCGCTCCCACGGCAACATTGTTGAGCAGGCAGAACCCCTGGGAGCCCTCGTCGTCGTCCTGCGAGGGGGGGCGCTCGGCAGCCGGGCCCTCCGGCCCTTCTGCTCATCGTCGGCCTCGTCCTCATCCTCCATTCCTCCTGCCCCTCCTCCCGCTGTCCTGACCGTTCCTGTCTCTCTCTCTCTCCATATCTCTCTCTCTCTCTTTCTCTGTCCTCCTCCACCCTGGTCCCCCTCTCTTCGCCTCCTCCTCTTCCTCCTCCTCCTCCTCCTCCTCCTCCTCCTCCTTCTCCTCCTGAAGACCGAGACGGACGGGGGCCAGGGACTGGGAGGAGGAGGGCCGAGGGAGGATCGGGGATCGGGGAGGGGCGCCGCGGGTCGTTGGGGATTTCGGGATGACTCTATGTGGCCCCGGGAGGGCTCCAGATAGCCCAAGATGGTTTCCACGATAGCACGATCACGATCGCACAATAAAGCCCTAGATTGCTCAAGATAGCTCCAACATGCCTCCAAGAAAAACCATGCCTGCCCCACGGCTGCTCCAGGCCACGGGGTCTTCTAGGGAACCCTCCCAGAGACAAAACTCCCCCCCCGCACGCCTACAAGCAATACGTGCGTTTCGTATTCTCGCCCTTTCGCGTCCGATGGGCTCGTGAGGTCCCAAGATGGGCCCAAGACTGCCCCAATAGCGCCCACGAGCGCCCTATAAGCAACTGTTCGGCCCCCAGCGGGGTGATGGTAATTACATATTCCCTTGTTTGATGGATGGCCTCCAAGATGGCCCCACGAGTGCCCCCGCAGCCCCCAGGAGGGCCCCAGGAGACCCGTAAAGGCACAAAGCATGGCCTAAGATAGTTGCCAACAAGACCCCATCTCGAAACATCCGCAACATCATTTACGGTTGACTCCAGGGCCTGCCCAAAAAGGTCTAGATCATTGTTCCACTGCGTGCTCTCGCGCATCCCGGATCCATGCAACCCTCGCCAGTGCGTCGTTGCCGGATGGGCTGGTGGGGATATTTTGTTGCTCGCGAGCGCAAGCGGAGGAGCCTCGCGCCGTCGCAAATGTCAAGCAAGCCTTACTGCCGCGGCCAGAGACAGAAACGACGAACAAGCAGCGCGCTCAGAAGTCAAAAACGGCCAAGCCCGCGAGCCGAGGAGTAGCCCTCAGCAAACTTGCCCTCAGAGAACTTGTCCCCAGCGACCTTCTCCTCAACGAACGTGTCATCAGCGAACTTATCTTCGGGGCACGGGCGCCGCCGCCGTCGTCAAGAACGGGTCCTGTGACCACGCCACGTATCCAGCCTCAAAGAAATGCCCTCATGAGTAACCTCCATCAGCCGGCTATGCGCGCCGTCCTATCAGTCGTACCACGGACCATATCCACCGAACGGAACCAGCGAAGAGCGACGAATGCAGGCCAAGGATGCACTGCGCTGACCAGAGCACCTCCCGCAGGGAGACAGCCGCAGGGAGAGGGCCCTGGTGTCTGCTGGCGCTGGTCCCAGTGTCGCGGGGGGAACGCCGTCGGCCACGTGCGCGCTGTGGGTGGCGGTCGCAGCTAACAGCCGCAGGAGCTGACAGCGGGCGAGCCCGTGCACCTCCTGCGGGGGGGGCTGCCGCAGGAGGATGGACGAGCCAGACAGGTCGGAGAGGCCATCGATATAACTCCTGGCGCCAACGCCCCTGGAGGGAGCGCCGAAGGCCAAGGCCGCACTGCGGGTGGGGTCGAAGCTAACAGCCGCAGAGAAAGTGAAGTCAGTGGGCGTGCCCGTGCACCTCCTGCGGGGGGGCAGCCGCAGGGGCAGGACAGGCCAGACGGTCCAGAAAGTTCATTGCCTGCTGGCCCCAGCGCCCCGGGGGGAGCGCCGAGGGCCACGGACGTGCCGTGGGTGGCAGTCGCAGCTGACGGGCGCACAGCGAGTGGCACAGTAGGTAAGCCCGTGCACCGCCTGCGGGGGGGAAGCCGCAGGAGGGTAGGCGGACCAGGCAGCTCGAAGAGGCCAGCGATATATCGCATGGCGCCAGCGCCCCTGGAGGAAGCGCCGAAGACCAGGCCGCGCTGTGGGTGGCGGTCGAAGCTAGCAGCCGCAGAGATAATGAAGG